CATTTATTATATGTGGTTTGCGTTGGTATTTTGGTTCCAATCTTCTATAGTATCGTGTTCACTCCATCTCATATTGGGCATCCTGGATAGGCTGGCATAAGTATGAGAGTGAGAGTCAAAATTTTATTTTACTTAAATAGAAGTGTGTCTGAAAGTGGAGAGGAAGTTAACTTGATGAAGAATTTGAACTCTCTACATACATAAGTGTTTTCCTACTGCATCTCATAAGTTAATTTTCGAGTCCTATGGTTCTGTAGAGTCGATGAAAAATGCTACTCCCTTTATCCCAATTGAATATACCAGATGCCGTTACGGTTCTTAAGATGAGAATTGAAAAAATCTGTTGTTTAGTATTAACGGGTGGAAAATCTTGGGGCACAGTTGCTTTTTGAATTGTGAAGAATAGAAAGAGAGATATAACAAAGAGGAAAAGTTGCCCAAGATACCCCTCACATTACATATTAGGCTTTAAAGTTCATCTTGAGAGTATAAATTATTTCATGGACAAACAATGAAAAGTGGGTATTCCATAATATGTTGCAATTTGATCAAAATCATTTGGCTCTCATCACTGTAATTTTAATTTGTTTTTAGTTCATTGAGCAACTAGCTGAATGTAACACACAACAGTAGATTTCACATACTTGCACAAACATACACTTGAATCTCGTCATGAAAATTAAATTTTTTGTTTCTTATGAAGTTATGATGGAATTTTTCTTTTCAGCCAAACAAATATGTCAACACCCTTTTGGTGCCGAAAAACGGCCAAATACTTGTGGATATAGAAAGCCTGGCTTCTCAAGGAATTTTCAATGTGGTATGTTCATGTTTCATGGTTATTAGAAATGCTTCTTGGTAAATCAATAATGTACTTGATCAGTTTCTATTGGTCATGAGATTTCTCGTTTTAATTTCAAAAACCTAGTGCTCATTTGAAATTTGCAAAGTCGGTCTCATAAATGCCGCTAGATATACTACATGTGATTGCTTTGTTGGTGATCCTCTTCAATTAAGTTGACAAATGGAGTTCTTGTAGGTCACGGTGGATTCCTTTCATGATTCAAAATTGGGTGTGCTTTTTGATCCCAAATCACTGATTCAAGCACTTTCCAATCTTTTGACGGATGAACGAGCCTGAATGCCACTGTGCTCGTTAAACCTTAATTTATCAGAAATTTCAGAGCTTGTGGCACAGTAGTGTTCTGAAGTTTCTCCCTTTTGCACAACTTGCAACGGTATGAAGTTTGCTAATAGGGAGTGCAGTAATCTTGTTTTGTTCATACATCTATCGATTTTCATAATATTTTTAGTGCTGCTATTGCAGGGTCTGAAGAGAAATAGGCTGTTTGTGAGAACTTGTAGATCGATAAACAATTCAAAGACCTCTGCATTGATTTCAACTCCATGAAGTCCGAAGGATGAGGGTAAGGCTTCCATAGTTTCACGTTGGCAGTGGCTTAGATCTTATTCAGCTCTTACTGGGAAAGAATATCATTGTTCACAATTGAGCTGAAACACATCTGATGTTTCGTATTTGGACAGAGGTACAGATCAATGAAATTTTTGCCAACCACAGTTTGTTTGTTTGGAATTGAAGCGTAATTGCTGTTGTACATAATGGGATTTTCTTTATATCAAGGGCCTTATTTTATAGGAATATTAAATGTTCACTCTTTAGAGCAGGGTGTTGAATATTTTCCGTTCCCGTTAAGGGACAAACTGCTGTGATGCCTTTCCTCCTATTTTTTTGTTTATTCCGCCAAAAGAGAAGCTTTTGTGATTTGCAAACAGGACAACATAGTGATCAAGTACTCGATCTACTGCTGTATCAGAGTCCAATAGTTCCAAAATTATGGTAATAAAACTTATTAGAAAGTTACAAATGAAAGGTTCATTCATTTGAGGACATCAAACTGCGTGCACAATCCATCTTTGGCCTTATTATTATTATCATAAAATCAGTCTTATCATATGTAACTTGCCGTGCTTTCCAAGGGATTCAATCATCAATTGAAAATGATAACATTTGAGTTACCTTAATTTATATCCACAATGCTAGTACTATAAATACCATAGTTACTCTAAACATTTCATCCACAACATTCAAACAGAGACATACATTAGAATCAACAAAAAATTCAAGTGGCGAAAAATGGCTTTGATAATCAATTGGAAATCTGCTTTTTTAGCTCTACTTGTGTTAGCAATGTTGGCTAATGAAGCCACATCTCGTGACTTGAACGAAGCCTCGATGGTCCAGAAACACGAGATTTGGATGACTCGCTTTGGGCGAGTGTACAAAGATGATGCAGAGAAGGCAAAAAGGTTCAACATATTCAAGGACAATGTTGATTACATTGAGTAAATCAACAAGGCTGGAATTAGGCCTTATAAGTTGAGCATCAATGGATTTGCAGATTTGACAAATGAGGAATTCAGAGCCACTCACAACGGGTACAAAGCGTTTTCTCATCAAAAGTCATCAAAAACCATATCTTTCAGGTATGAAAATGTGACTGCTCCAGCTACCATGGATTGGAGAAAGAAAGGTGCTGTTACTGGAGTTAAGGATCAAGGGCAATGTGGTAAGTATTCAAACTAGGTCCTGTTAATAATATCCTCAGTTTTTCAGCGAAAAAAGAATCTTATTAGCTTAAGCTGATATGTAGGATGTTGCTGGGCATTTGCTGCTGTTGCTGCTACTGAAGGGATCAACGAGATCAAAACTGGTAAGTTGATCTCTTTGTCTGAGCAAGAACTCGTGGACTGCGACACAAGTTCAGATATGGGATGTGAGGGAGGTCTTATGGATGATGCTTTTAAGTTCATCATCAAGAATCACGGGCTTACTACTGAATCTAATTATCCGTACGAGGGAACTGATGGCACTTGCAAAACTGGAAAGAAATCCAATGACGCTGCTAAGATTACTGGTTATGAAGATGTCCCAGCCAACAGTGAATCTGCTTTGTTGAATGCTGTTGCTAACCAACCTGTATCAGTTGCCATTGATGCTAGTGGATCAGATTTCCAATTCTACTCTAGTGGTGTTTTCACTGGAGAATGTGGAACTGAATTAGATCACGGTGTTACAGCAGTTGGATATGGAAAAACTAGTGACGGGACAAAGTACTGGTTAGTCAAGAACTCGTGGGGGACTAGCTGGGGTGAGAACGGTTACATTAGAATGCAAAGAGGCATTGATGCTGAGGAAGGACTATGTGGAATTGCTATGCAGGCTTCTTATCCAACTGCATAATTAAATAGCTGAGAAGCTTGATGGGAAGTTGCTATTGATTTGTCTTTAAACACTATTGTTATTCACCATGTTCATAGTCTACTGTGTATATGTTACAAACTCGTTGTATGTAAATTCCAAGTGTTAAACAAAAGTTTGTAAGTGAAAAAATTCCAGCATTCAGTAATGAAGTCAGGCATATCTTCTTGCATATCTTTTGTCACTACTTGACCCAAAATAAGCAACTTTGTCTAGATACAAAAACTAACTAGCAGTAAGTAAAGTTGGAGAAGATTAGAGGAGAGGGACACTTAGTTTTTGATTGATTTTTTTCAACTCGCTTGCCTCCAAATGACAAGTAAAGCTAGGTATCGGACTAATGACGTATACAATACCTATATTCTTGATGTAGAGTGTGTGTGTAACTCATGACAAAAGAGACTTCTACACTCGTAGGCTCTAGTTCAGTGAATTTCAGTATTAATAAATGATCCAAATATGACATGTTCTCGGAACTAGATTCGCTCATTCTTGTTTTTCCAGCAATTAACCTATTCCATAGTAATTTGGTCATTAGCCTATACCGCACACTACTCGGAGCCTTCATTAGGTCTGTTAAAATTCATGAAATGATGTACATAGAAGATTCAATCCTGCATTTGCTAGTTGGAAGATTGAACTACTACTCATCACAGACACAACCAAAAAAATGTCCAATCCAAATATTAAGCAAATGGGGATTCTAGTTTTCAGATTTGTCCAAATTTCACGGAGAACCTGCACAAACTGTACCTTGAATATCTGTCATGAAAATCAAGATTTAGTTTCTGGTGCGAAAAATGTGGCCAAATACCCGTGGATATAGAAAGCCCATCTTCACAAGGAATTTTCAATGTGGTATGTTACGTTCCTGTTTCAGGGTTATTAGAAATGCTTCTCAGTAAATGAATAATGTACTTGATCAGTTTTTATTGGTCATGGGATTGCTCGTTTTAATTTCAAAAACCAAGTGCTCAATTGAAATTTTCAGAGTCGGTCTCATAAATGTTGTTAGATCCACTACATGTGATTGCTTTGCTGGTGATCCTCTTTAATTTAGGTGACAAATTGAGTTCTTGTAGGTCATTGTGGATACTGGATTCTATCCATGATCCAAAAGTAGGTGTGCTTTTTGATCCCAAATCATTGATTCAAGCACTTTCCAGTCTGTTGACTGACACATGAGCCTACATGCTACTGTGATTCGTTACATCTTAATTTATCACAAATTTCAGAGCTTGTGGCACAGTAGTGTTCTGAAGTTTCTCTCATTTTGCACAATTTACAAAGGTAGGAAGTTTCTCTAATAAGTAGGGTAATCTTATTTTTTTCATACATCTATTGTCTGTCTTTCAAATGATTTGCCACGCCTTCTGCAGCAATTGCAGTGAACTTGCAAACTGAACTCTTTAGTAATTCATTGTTGCACAGCAAGGAAAGAACGAAAACTAGAACTAGCCTGATGCTGTACATGAAAATCCTTTCCCGTTGAGCAAGGGGTAAACTGATGTGATGCCCTCTCTTGGATTTTTTATCAAAATAAGTCATTATTTAAATCAATTTATCAAAATAATTTATTTTTTTGAAATTTTACAAAACTAGAATAAACGTAGTTGATAGTAACATTTTTGATGTTATTTTATTTTTAAAAATTAATGGCCCAAAACTAACAAAACTGACGGTGTTAAATGAATATTCGTTACCTCCAGTAACGCTTTAACCTTAATATCTAACCAACGCCCACATCCATTATCTGTCCCCTCCCTCAAACAAATTTCTCAGCCCACAAAACTCCGCCCCCAATCCTCGCCGGTAATTTGTGGATGAAGAGAAGATGTTTAAGAACATAAAACGGGGAGAAAATGAATGGGTCAAATCGTGGATGCACGGTAAGTCCTATACTTCAAAATCAATTTTGGGGATTTCTTGTTTTGCTTCAATATTGTCCAAAACGAGTTTCACCACAAATAGCTGTCATTAATCTTACAAAAAGCTTGGAACGAACCTTTTTTTGTGTGTGTTTAATTTGTGGTATGTTCTTTTCTTATAAAATAGTAGAAGAAATGCTTGGATTTTAGAATTTCTCTCTTCTTGTATTTATTTCGCTTTATTATATAGCATACTGCTAAATAGATTCAGTCAAGCAATTATGATTCTTGTATGCTATGTTTTTATTTAGTCGAGGATTATGTCGTTTTTGTATGTTGTCGGCAAGCAACTCTGATTATATCATTTTTAGTAAGAGGATTCATATTGTTATTGTATGTCGTCGGCCTATAATTCAGTCAAGCAACTCTGATAAGATTTTTCATGAACTCACCAACATTGAGTATCTAATGGAAAATAAATTAAAAAAACCTTGTTAATGATGAAAAAGAAGCCAAAAGAAACATTACCAGATTGTACCACTAGTTTGGCAATATACCTTCTTGGGAGGGCACCATCTTCAATTCTTAGATAATTTTACAACAATTTTTAATTTAACAGAACTTCTTAGACTAATCACAATGTCCATTGATGCAAAGAGAAACAAGGGAAAAAAAAGTTTAAAAGGAAAATGGAAGGAAAGACTATAACTATGAGGTTGGCCTACAACCTCTACTAGCTAGCTATTCACTCATATGATATCAGGTATAACATATCAACCAATAAATATCGAGCTCCATACATATCGCCACAAATATCAAGAGATCCAAGTCTTTTGTCACTTGAAAATGTCTTTGGTAGTTATCGGCCTCAACATTTTAAGAATGCCCCAAACTTTACCTCATCGCCTATAACAATGTCCATTGAGATTTCTGATGCCAATATTAATTTAGAGGACTCCAACACTGTGATAGAAGGTAATGAGTTGGATGAATCCAACGATGAAGTGAATAGTAATAATTCCGAGAATGCAAGTTGAGGTGGTGAACCATCGGTGAAAATAAAGCGTACAATTTTTCCTAAGCTTTGTGGGATTGGCATTTTAACAACTTTACATTATTTATCTTTTGTGTTTAAGGCTTGAGAAATTGAAGTTCAGGTAACCTTCTTGTGAGGTCAGAGTCATATTTGTGACAATGAGTGTTGATTTAGCATAAACTATATCTGTATATATTGAATTGTATATTTTGAGTTGTATATCTTGAGTTGTTTATCTGATCCATGTAGATTTTACTTGCAACATGTACATTTGTACATTACAAATATTAATATAATCTTTCTTTATAGTAGAGGTTATACACTAGACAACAAATTGATATTTTATATTTTAAGATATGCAAAGTAAAAAGTGGTTTTTGATGAATAGTTCTATGACTCATAGCTTGACCATGATTGTTGTTGATATCACATTATAATAGTTGTTCTTGTAAATATGTTTGCCTTCCATGTAGCTTCAGTTGTTAATAGTCTAAAATTCCTATTTGCAGATTGAATATGAGTAAGAATCTCCATTGAAAAACATGACCATTTTGATCAAAAGATTGGCATTGAAGGATGTCATTGCTAGAAGCTTTCTGGCTTTTTTTGGAATGCTGTAAGCTTCCAAGTTTCTGGACATGTATCTTGAAGAACTGGAGTTGTCTTGAAGAAATCTTGAAGAACAGAGGTTATCTTGAATGCCTTATTCAAGAAATCTCTTGGAACAGATACTCTTCAATGTAGAGTTGGATCGATATTATGAAGCTCGCAAATTCTTCTCATGCTTGTGACTTGTGAGAATGTTTCGCTACTTTCATTAACATAAGTGAATCCCGAATTTAGAGTATGAACAGTGCCTTATAAGTTGAAATGACAAAGAAAATAGTCATGTTGAAATTACATTAGCTAATTGAAAGGAAATGGCATGTATCTAAAGAACGTTACTGTGAGGAATGTTTTGGCAGTAAAACGTGCCTCAGAGTAACGAATTATAAAACGTTACTATGAGGAACATTTTGGCTGTAAAACGTACCTCACAGTAACGAATTATAAAACGTTACTATGAGGAACATTTTGGCTGTAAAACGTACCTCACAGTAACGAATTATAAAACGTTACTATGAGGAACATTTTGGCTGTAAAACGTACCTCACAGTAACGAATTATAAAACGTTACTGACAGTAACGTTTTATGTCTGTTAACTCCTCCATCAAGCTTTTGTCTTTTTGCCATTGATTTTTTTTGAATAAAATATAACCTAAAACGTTACTGAGAAACTCGTTTGTTCTAGTTTCGTAAAACTTAAAAAAACGTATTATTTTGGTGAATTGATTTGAATAATGACTTATTTTGATCAAAAATTCGCCCTCTCTTAGTCTCTTTTATATTCCTCTTTTTTTTTTTGGTTTCCCACCTGGTGATCAGTATCCATTTTGAGGCCCAATTAATTCGGAATCCAAACCCGACATCTTTACCTAATTGCTCTGAATTTCTTACCATAATTGGGTTTTCCTATTCTTTAAAAAAAAACATAAAGTCTCCATATTTGGCTAGTCCTTCTCTGGTAAGAAAATGTCTATCACTATAAATAGAGCATCGCTCCTTCTAACTTAGTAGCACTCACAATGTAATCCGAGGAGCTTTGAGAATTTTGTGTAGGGGGAGAAACGGTGTGACACAAGTGTTATGTTAACACTTGTGTGAACCTCTTTTTATTTCGAGTAAATTGTGTGAGGTTACTTCTCTCGATATTGTGTACTCTCATATTTATATAGTGAATTGCTCATCTCCTCTTGTGGAGGTAGGTCAGTTGATTGAACCACGTTAAATCTTTGTCTTTTGGTAAATTTTATGTTTGTCTTCTTACTCATGGTCTATTCAGGTTTGCTTTGCTAGATTACGCATGACGACTAATTATTTCGGTCCTAACATCCACAACAACCTTAGGTGTTTTTTGTTTGTTCCTTTTCCTCATCACATTTAAGCCAAAAGAGAAACGTTTGTGATTTGCAATGAGGACAGAATAGTGATCAGGTTCTCCATTCCTAAATCAGAAAATTTTGCCATGTGCCAATATAGGAGCTTAGTTAGTGCTAATAGTTCCAAAATTATGGTAACAAAAATTATTAGATAGTTGCAAACGAAAGACTAATTGCAAGATAATCAAATGAAAACATCAAACTACGTGCACAATCCATCTTTATAACTTGCCGTGCTTTCTAGGGGATTCAATCATCAATTGAAAATGATAACATTTGAGTTACCTTAATTTATAACCACAATGTTAGTACTATAAATACCATAGTTACTCTAAGCATTTCATCCACAACATTCAAACAGAGTAATATATTAGAATCAACAAAAAACATTTAAGTGGTGAAAATGGCTTTGACAATCAATTGTAAATCTGCTTTTTTAGCTCTACTTGTGTTGGGAATGTGGGCTAATGAAGCCACATCCCGTGACTTGAATGAAGCCTCGATGGTCCAGAAACACGAGAAGTGGATGGCTCACTTTGGGCGTGTGTACAGAGATGATACAGAGAAGGCAAAAAGGTTCAACATATTCAAGGACAATTTTGATTACATTGAGTCAATCAACAAGGCTGGAATGAGGCCTTATAAGTTGAGAATCAACGGATTTGCAGATTTGACAAATGAGGAATTTAGAGCCACTCATAACGGATACAAAATGTCTTCTCCTCATATGTCATCAAAAACAACATTTTTCAGGTATGAAAATGTGACTGCTCCAGCTACCATGGATTGGAGAAAGAAAGGTGCTGTTACTGGAGTTAAGGATCAAGGGCAATGTGGTAAGTATTCAAATTAATTAAGTCCTGTTAATAATATCCTCGTTTTGTTTAACAAAAGAAGAATCTTATTAGCTTAACTTGATAATATTGTAGGATGTTGCTGGGCATTTTCCGCTGTTGCTGCTACTGAAGGGATCAATGAGATCAAAACAGGCAAGTTGATCTCCTTGTCTGAGCAAGAACTTGTGGACTGCGACACAAGTTCAGATATGGGATGTGAAGGAGGTCTTATGGATGATGCTTTTAAGTTCATCATCAAGAACCACGGGCTTACTACTGAATCTAATTATCCATACGAGGGAACGGATGGCACTTGCAAAACTGGAAAGGAATCCAATGACGCTGCTAAGATTACTGGTTATGAAGATGTCCCAGCCAACAGTGAATCTGCTCTGTTGAATGCTGTTGCCAACCAACCTGTATCAGTTGCCATTGATGCTAGTGGATCAGATTTTCAATTCTATTCTAGTGGTGTTTTCACTGGAGAATGTGGAACAGAGTTAGATCATGGTGTTACTGCCGTTGGATATGGAATAACTAGTGACGGGACAAAGTATTGGTTAATCAAGAACTCGTGGGGGACTAGCTGGGGCGAGAACGGTTACATTAGAATGCAAAGAGGCGTTGTTCCTGAGGAAGGTCTTTGCGGTATCGCTATGCAAGCTTCTTATCCAACTGCTTAATTAAATAGCTGAAAAGCTTGATAGAAAGTTGCTATCGATTCGTCTTTAAACACTACTGTAAATTCGTAATTCACCTTGTTCATACGTTGTGTGGTGTGTATACTGTGTATATGTTACAAACTCGTTGTATGTAAATTCGAAGTGTTAAACAAAAGTTTGTATATTAAAAAGTTTAAGCATTCAGCAATGAAGATGCAACTAGTACTCGATCATCACACAAAGACGTACAAGTAGTAATATAATTATACGAATGATTTTCTGTTCGTACAATAAGACTGGAAGAGACTTTACTATGCAAGAACTCTTCCAGACTAACTTATTACAATAAGCTTTTTTTTTTTTAGTTATTACAATTAACTTAATATTAAAATTGGCCTTATAATAGTATAGTGACTGATCAAGCATCAACGTGTAGCGTATAAATTCAGATACGTGTATATATTAATTGTCCCAAGCCGTATGCTGAATCTTAAGAAAAACATATTACAATAACTAGAACTAATTCGAAATAATAGAAAAAATCAACGGAATGCAGAGGGATTTAATTCTTCAGGAAGACTAGAACAATTGACGGACGAGAGCTGACTATACTAATATACCTAAGAAAGATTGATAATTCAACCAGCTATCACTAATCCTCCGCATGTCTAGTAAGAAATTTGGTTGATGCTTTTTTAGACTAGTCTTTCACTCAATGGGTGGTCCGTGAAAAGAATACTAGTTGAGTGATCATTTGAGATATTATTTTTGATATATTTATAGTAAAACATCAACATGCATATAATATGATCTTCTTTTTTTTTTCAAAAAAAAGAGGTAAAAAAAGGGAAATGGAAAATGGAGAGAAATTAAGGTGGGAAATCGAAATTTCGTTACGTGGGAGTAAGATTCCTCAACATGCATATATATGATCGTTACTATTTACTGATCAAAATTTGTTAAAAGTTAAATATGAACACCAGTTGTAATCAATTAGAATATAGTAGAGGTGTCAAAATTGAGCTCAATTATAGGTAACCCGTCTAATCGGTCCATAATTTTAAAGGTTGGGCTCAAGATAATTTGAGTTGAGTTCAATCTAATCGCATTCAACTCCTAACCCATTTTAAGAGAATCTTCAATTGATGCCAATTTAATCTTCAATTTCAATTTATTTGCATTGAAATAATGTATGTTCCCATATTAAAGGTGTGAATTACTATCTATTTCATATATTTTAAGATTTATCTATCCATTTGTAACTTCTTTTTAAAAAAAATTCTTCAATTGAAATTCAAATTGTAGTTATAAAACTTAAATAACAATATATTATAATTATTGAGATTAAGCGGATCAAGACCCAACCCATTTTTAAGCCCATTTTAGCTTAAAGGAAACTTGGACGGGTTAGAACTCAACCCAATTTCTATTTCAACCTATTTTAATATTCCAATTTCAACCCAACCCATTTATTTGATACCCTACCGTATTCCATTATGGAAGTTTAAATGCATCTTCTCTTCTTTTTTTTCTCCCTTTAAACACCAATCGGAATTTTGTCGTTTATCTACTTTGGTAAAGAAAAGAAAAAAAACACGGAGAAAAAATAATCTCATTTTCCACTGGCTTAATAGGCGGAGGGAATTTGAGGAGACTCCATTTCCGCATAATTTACAAACACCACAAAAGTAAACTTTTTTATTTGTTATTTTTTCTACTTTATTTACTTGCTTAATATTTTCTAATTTGATGTTCTTTTTATTTATTATTTTTGATAAATTAAGAACTTTTTTTTTATTATGCCCTCAATATATTAACATAGAGTTAATATCTTTATAAAATATAAGTGAGTAAATATATTTGGGATTCAATCAATTAATAAAAATAAAAAGGTAAATTCATTATACTAATCAATATTTTCTTAATAGATATGTCAAATCTAAATTTTAAAAAGACGAAGAAAGTATAATCATTGATATTCAATAATATTGACCGGACTAATTCATATTTGAGGCTGTATATATGTTCTTTAATAAAGGAATTTCTTCATTTATGTTGTTCAAACTCAAAAGCTTTAATTAATATTTTCATTTATTTGATTGGTAAAAAGTAGAAATTACTTTTTTTCGTTCATTTTACATGGTATATTTTCTATTAATTGATGTTTAATATTAAACCTTCAAAAATGATTTGATGAATAAGTAGTTAATGCTAAGAGTAAAACATGAAAATTTTTTATCTTTTCTTTATATAGTAAAAGTGATAAATAAAAACAAAAAAATTATTGGAATATAATGGATAAATAAAACTAAACGGACCGAGTACTATATTATATTCGTGGTAATTAAGTATGTAAGACGCAAGCGGTGAAGACTTCTCCGTTGACTTGACATGGACGAAAGGAACGACTGGCGCTGGGAGAATGCAACAACGTAACGTTGATTGAGTTAAAGAAATTTTATTTGGCGTGAGACACAAAGTGAGAGCAGGATCCACGGTATGAAATTTGGTGAATGTGAATCCACTCTACTATTTTTCTTGCAGAAATTTGTTTTGATATTAGTGGCTATGAGATTCGATATAAGCACCTTTGTGTGCTCTGCTATCGTATTAAAGTGTGTAATCAGTTCTTGCCGGCAGGCTTCTTTCTAGGACAAACTTTCTTATCAAAAAAATAATTCCTTTAAGAGATTTCCCCCGTTACGGAAGGAAACACTCTGTTGATTGCTTTGATGATCGTGACTTCTTATCTAAAAATTTAAATCGTTAGAAAGTACACTTTTTATTATTAATTATACTCTCAACAATACATACAAGTAAATTTTCTGTATAAAAAGTTTCATATTTTGCTCTATAGTGCTAGAAGGCACTCCTGGTCAATAGTTATTTTTCTTGTTTCAATCCAAATTTCTTTTTCTCTTTTGCCCTAAACAGGTTTAAGATAAATATTAGTATTCAATATTTGTATTTGCATATATAATAATTGATAACATTAATGAAAAATACATATTTAGATTAACAAAAAATTATTTATCTCTTTTGATATATAAATACTCTGTAAAATTAATAACAAGTCAAAAATAATAAGTCAAAAAACACTACAAATTAAACACATCATGTGACATTATTATGATATGGTAAGTATTCTATCATTCTTAATCATAGATCTCGAATTCAAGTCCTGGGCAAAGAGTAGCCTTTTTATGAGCCGTTTTACTCCTAATATAATGTGGAACTTTCTAACTAGTGCAAATTTGAAGTTAGTTGGGCACAAATATGCATATGTATACCAGATGAGTAAACCAAAAAAATAGAGTATTTTAACTTTTGTGCTGCAACCATGATCTTAAAATTCTGAATCCGTCTGTCACTCACTCAACAAATAATACTCAAGTGAGGCTTTATGTTAAAGAAAATGAATAATTCAAAATTCTAGACAAATTTTTTTCACCAACAAAATTATAACTAGATATAGGTTTATTTTGTAAATTGTGTATCCTCTTTTAGGAGCGGTACTGTTGGACCATTATATTATGCCAAGATTATAAGATCCAAATTGTTGCTAAACACATCTACACAGTACATATTGTGTAATTAACTAGTTTAGTTTCTATATAGATACTTATATTGAAATTTCCTAGACAAGCAAAGACTAGTGCAGTGCAATCCAGAAGTCAATACTAACCTGGAAAAATAAAATAAAAAAAAGAATACATACTTGAACATCAAATTTCCATCAATAAATCTAAAAAACCAATCAATCAAGACTACTTTTCCAAAACTCTTGGGGTCCAGTTGTTGACTAAAAAGTAGGTTAATTTCAACCGTTAACCTACGATAGAATTTCTCATCTACGCCACTATATAAACGCCTTGCTACTGAAGACATAAAATGCAAGCTTCTTACAACAATATTCTTTTGATCTAACACCTATAATTTTCCCCTCTACACTAACCATGGCTATGAAAATTGATTTGATGAGTATTTTAATTACACTATTCTTTGTAATTAGCATGTTTAACTCTCAAACAACAGCTCGCAGCCAGCCAAAACTATCCGTGTCTGAGAGACACGAACAGTGGATGTCACGTCATGGACGCGTTTACAAGGACGAAGTAGAAAAAGGAGAACGATTCATGATTTTCAAAGAAAACATGAAATTCATTGAGTCGATCAATAAGGCAGGGAATCTGTCTTACAAGTTAGGGGTCAATGAATTTGCAGATATTACTTCAGAAGAGTTTTTGGCTAAATTTACTGGATTAAACGTACCTTCATATCTTTCACCTTCTCCAATGTCATCAACGGAATTTAAGATTAATGATCTTAGTGATGATGACATGCCGTCTAACTTGGACTGGAGAGAGTCTGGGGCTGTCACTCAAGTGAAGAATCAAGGTCGATGTGGTAAGACACAATATATATATATAACACTTTAATTAATTGGGCTCATGAAATATTATTCACGATAAATTTTGATATTAATTAGGTATTTTTGTATGTTAGGTTGTTGCTGGGCGTTTTCTGCGGTTGGATCACTAGAAGGAGCCTACAAAATTGCAACAGGCAACTTGGTGGAATTCTCTGAACAAGAACTTCTCGATTGCACCACCACCAACAATTATGGCTGCAATGGAGGTTTCATGACGAATGCATTCGATTTCATCATAGAAAATGGTGGAATTTCAATTGAATCAGATTATGAATACCAAGGTCAACAATACTCATGCAGAAGCCAAGAGAAAACAGCAGCAGTGCAAATAAGTAGTTATCAAGTCGTGCCTGCAGATGAAACATCACTATTACAAGCCGTAACTAAACAACCAGTGTCAATTGGAATTGCTGCTAGCCAAGAATTACAATTTTACGCCGGAGGAACTTATCAGGGAAGCTGTGCCGATCAAATTAACCATGCTGTTACGGCGATAGGATATGGAACTGATGAGCAAGGTCAGAAATATTGGTTGTTGAAGAATTCATGGGGAACAACTTGGGGTGAGAATGGATTTATGAAAATTATAAGAGATTCTGGGAATCCTGGAGGTCTTTGTGATATCGCCAAGATGTCTTCTTATCCAAACATAGCATAGATAAGCAAGCATTCTATATGTTTTAATTTCTTATATATATGTTAAGTTGTTGTATTAAGAATTGAAAAAAATATTGATTGTATACATGCAAAAGTTTTTTGCATGTAGTATTTGTGTCTTTGTATCCATTGGAACTTTATGAAGTTATTAAAAAGTGTATTGATTAATATTATATCATGAAGCAAAAAGAGTAATTTTGTGTTTTAATTTCATATCCACTTATTACTTAATACTATACGACTTACTAAGTCTCCAAAAAAAAATGATATATTTCTACGTTTAGTACAAAATATTCATTTTACTCTTAATGAAATAATTTACACTCACACAAACATCTATGACTTGTTTTAGACCAGAAGTTTCAAAAGTATTTCTTTTTTAAATTTTTTGTGTCAAATCAAATTAAGTCATACAAATTGAGACGAAGGAGTATGTATTTTAATTTTTAGTTGAAGCTAGACGCTTGGAATTTTATGTAAATATATATTAGGAGTACCTCAGCTATATATTTTCACTAATCAAATATCCATGAGCTTTAATTTGGTGAACAGATGCCTACATAATTGCCACAAAAAGCCCCTAAAATTTAAAAAGAATCTCCAGGATTCCACCCAAAATGTCAACATGTGATGTGAATACAAATTTTACAATTTCTGCACCAAGCTCACAAGTTCAGAATAAATTCCCTTCAAAGCTATATATATCAAATGAAACTCTTTAACGTTTTCCTCTATCGCCCTCAAAAGGTGGTTAAATCAAAGTGTAGGGATCAAGAAGTTTCTTTACGAATTAGCACGCTCCTTCTTCCTACATCGGGGAGCTTGAAGAAGTATTGTCTTTCATTTTTCTTAACTATCTATCTAATATTTGAAACTCATTAATCTGATTAATTTAAACTGTATGTTATATAAGGTTCATCTAAGAATAAAGTGTTCTACATCAATCTTTTTTATTCTTAAAACTAGGGAATTTGACCGCGCGAAGTTATTTCTTGAAAAAAATTCAATAAATTTATGCTACAATATTTTAGTTAAAATTAATTTGAGAGATAAAAGATGCAGAACTATGATAAATTTATTAAATATCAAACCAATAAAAATATGTTTATAATATCATAATAATAATAATAAAAAATTAGGGATAGTTGGGTGAAAAAATATGAACTTGTTAGCTAGATCAAATTTGTATTCGTAAAAAATTAATTTTAAAAAAATAAAATAATTTCTAATAATGTAGCTTTAAACTAAATAATACATTTATTATATATGTGCTCAATGTAGATTTTCATAAAATTTTATTATAAAACTGTGATTACGAATAGAATATAAAATTTCAAAAAATACATGACAATAAGATATTTCATATTCTTTATAGTTCACTTTCTCCACAGTTCTAATCACAAATAAATAAATAAATAAAACATCTCCACAACAGAACAAAATCGACTTAAATTCATAGCAAAGAATCATTCAAAAGTTTTTTCCCTTCATATTTTTTAGGTACAAAGAAAATAAATTTTAAAAATTTATCAAATATAAAAATAATTGTCCTTCATTCCTTCAATAGTCGTTTTCCTTATATATGATTTACACAAAAAAGTAAAATAAAATAAAAAACAAATAATACAATATAAAATTATCTAAACCTCTATTTCATTTTCACATGAAATAATTTTGTAGAGATTTTTTTTTGGCAATCAAACTTCACCCAATATGTAAAGACGTATCAATTACAATTCTTTATGATAGCCATCAAACGTTCTATAGATAATAATTACTACAACAAATGTCAATTCAACTTAACAATAATCTCACAAATAAAATAATTCAAGTACAATAAATACACATATTAATCAACCTGAACGACAAAAGAAAAACACAATAATAAATAATGAAACTAAAAAAGAAGAAGGAAAACATCATAATTTTTTTACTCGCTAAGCTTAATTCAAGCAAAAAAAAAAAAAAGGCTTCAAATATAGTTCAAAAGCATAACCATTCATTATGAAATCAATGAAAATAAAAAGTAGAAAAGAAATCAAGTATAAATAATAATAATTGAAACTATAATTTTCAGTATTTTCAACTGAAAAGGAATTAAATATACACTAAAAAAATCAAATTCATTAATCATAGAGTAAATAGGACTGAAGAGGCAAATAAATACATAAATCAACAGAGAATAAATTCCCTTCAAAGCTATATATATCAAATGAAACTCTTTAACGTTTTCCTCTATCGCCCTCAAAAGGTGGTTAAATCAAAGTGTAGGGATCAACAAGTTTCTTTACAAATTAACACGTTCCTTCTTCCTATATCGGGGAGCTTGAAGAAGTATTGGAACTCATTAATCCGATTAATTTAAACTCTGTTATATAAGGTTTGTTTAAGAATAAAGTGTTCTACATCAAACTTTTTTATTCTTAATATTCGAACCAAGATATTTCGTTAAATATGGATAGAAATCATCCATCCCACTACGTCTTCTAGTAGAATCTTTATTATCAATATCATAATAATAAAGTATTTTGTATTTGTGTGTATTAAATTCTTTTTGAGGTTGTTAACCTTATAATGATATAGTATATATTTTATTTGTGGTTGTTAATATCATAAGATATTTTGCTTTTGCGTACACCCTGAGTGGTATCACTTTAATCAACTCTAGAAAAAGAGGAGCAGAAAAATTGAAATTAGTAGACTATAAAATAGACCAACTGAAATGTCATCAAATTCGAAAGACTAAACAATGACTTTGTGGACATGGGTAGATTTGGAACTTCTTTACGCGCTAAACGAAAGTTAATTAACTACCTTATTCTTTCATGTTTAAATTTATGTGGTATATTTATAGTTTCTAAATTTTGAGTGTGAATTGAATTATTTTTAAAATAAATTTAAAATTCAAAACTAAGTAAACTCACTGTTAATAAATATAACTAACAACTTAAAATATTTATAAAAAAGAATTGATCAAAGAAAAAATTAGTTGACTTCCAAAATTTTAATATTGACACATAAATTAGAATTAGGGGACTAATTCCAAATTGATACTTTCTCTAATTTCTAGAAAAAGTAACGGATACGGGGTTCTTCAATAAAAAAAAAAAATTGAACCAAAATTACGTAAAATTGTGTGGGAAAAAAGCTGTTTGGATATGTGGCATCACAAGAGGGAGGACACGTGGTATCGTGGGGGGGGGGGGGGGGAGATTTTTGGGAAAGGTAATTAAGGAGGTATGCTAGAACCAAAGAGTACCGAGTCTAAAAACGGGTGATGGATGGAAACTCAATTTAATAGGCCCAACAATTTACATAAATATAATGTCAAATCATAACAATAATAATAATAATAAAACTCTAATAATGAAATATATAAGATATATAAAGTGCTACATGATGTTATTATTTCTATTAGTAATGTATTCCAATGAACCTACTTAATTAAACCGGTACAAGTCAAGTTGGCATAATGAATTAGCAATCCCTCTACATTTTTCTAAGGTACTTTTTTATTTTGCAAAGTCAAGTTGGCTATTAAAAATGAGTTTAAATTTAATACATTAAAGGGGTTGTCTGGTAGCTAGATAAGGTCAAAGTTAGGGGTGTACAAAATCAAACCGAAAACCGAACCAAACCGTAAATCGAGTCAACCTGGAAAAAAAACCCGACTAGTGGTTTGGTTTGACTTGGTTTGGTTTTGAAAATACAAACCCAACTATATTTGGGTTGGTTTGGTTTTAACTAAAAAAAACCAACCCGA